TTTTACCAACGAATAGTGGGATTGACCGTTACATTATAACGCTCCCACGGCTGAAAGCGGCGAGCATGTTGGGCGTAACGGGGATTTTGAACCACCCTAACCACCCGGGCCAAATAATGTAGTCTAATAAATCACAATTTATTAAAGACCGGTGGAAAACAAAAAAAAAAATCGTATTGTATAACAATATTAATGTTTGAAGTTAGCACAAAGCTACACAATGGGCTCTCTGTGCTCTGCCCACCACGGGTATCGAAACCCGGTTTCTAGCGTTGTAAGTCTCCGCATACATACCGCTGTGCCACTGGGAGGGGGCAACAATATTAATATCACAGTGATTAATGCAGACGTTGAACCTCAACTCAATCCATGCCGATGATTGAGTATTTAAGATCTACGATAAAAAAATAACTATTTATTAGTAAGAATTTTGAAATTCACCGTTTTCAATCCCTAGTATTCACACTCCAAAACTTGTGTGAATTTTCAGTTTTGTTTGTTTTAATCAAAAGTTTCACTCTGTTTTTATGGTGTACTAGAAAATATATTTTAAAACATTTTTTTCAAACTATGATAGATTTCATTATTATTCTGGATGTTATATATATATACAAAGTATCCTTGTATTAATCTGTCAAATAACTGTTTCTTATAGTAGGGGATGGTGGGAAGCTTTAAAATTAGTTTCACCAATTAAGATGAACGTCGTGTAAAAGCAAAAGGTAATTCCTATTTAAAATAACGATTGGATATATACCGGTTTTAGATGCTGAAAAAAAATTGCATTTTGTGGTCGTCTGCCATTTTACATATAAGGTTGGATAAAACGGACCCCCCCCCCCCCAAGATGGAACGAAATAGTCCCGAATATAACACAAAACAACTGGAATTTGTAATAAATGCTGCATTTAAATGCTCCCAGATGGAGGTGAGGGTCTTACCCTAAGCCACTTTTCGTAAAGCTATTGCATGCCACTTTTAAAACGATCGCAATTTATATAAAAATAATTGAACTTGACTGAATTGTGTTTTTTTTACATGTTTGACTTTCTAGATTTCCTCATTATTTGAAATCAACATTGTAGGATTCCCCAAAATATCTACTTTATAGCTAAATAAGATTCAAAGTACTTACTGTACACTAAAGTTATTAAGAAAAATGAAATTCAGCTTTAATCATTGGCGTTCGCCCCCCGTTCAAGTGAACAATAATTATTTATAATTCACAGGAGTGGTTGCTTTATCGAAGGGGGCCGTCTTACCTCACTTTTAAGTAATTATTGTTCATGCTT